TGATGCTCCATAGGGGCAAACACTTCCTAGAACCCTGCTCTCATATTAGTAAATATTAACTAAAAAAAAGCTTAAGCCACTACAGAAAGGTCATCAAAGTCTCTGGTACTCAAGGCACTGTTGGAGAAGTAAAAGCAGAACGGTCTACCTTTAGAAAACTCTCTCTTCCCCCAGGAAGCCAAGTGAAGACCCAGGAATTTTCTTCTTGTTGATGATGATAATGATGTATTTTGGAAGAAGAGAGAAGTCAAAGCCACCTGCCATGAGGGAAAGGCAAGGAATTTCTGCATGCCCAGGATCCACAACAAGAGCAAAGAAGTACTGGCTACAATGAGGAAGGGAGTGGAAGAAGGCTTAAAGAGCCTAATCTTGAACCCAGGAGCAGCACAAGTCTTACCAAAAGTAGAAGTTGGACCAGAGGATTAAGAAAACTTTCCTGCCTGTACCACAAGCTTAACACTGAATCACAAGCAACAGAAGTCTTACTAGAGGAATGTAAAGTGTGTGGGAAAATAAGAATGACAATAGTAACAACAAAGCCCAAATCCAGTTCAACCAAGTGACTAGACTGACCCAACCTTACACACTAATGACTTGATGTAAGAAAACGTCTGCCTACTTCCTGTTATAAATTTCTTGGTACCAACTTTTCATTTATACACAACATTTTGTACTCAATTAAAAATAACTGATATATAAAAAAGCAACAAAAATGATCTATTGTCAAGAGATAAAGATCTCGGAGATGATCACATGATGGAACTATTCTACAGGGACTTTAAAATATCTATGATCGGGCGCCTGGGTAGCTCAGTCGTTAAGCGTCTGCCTTCAGCTCAGGTCATGATCCCAGGGTCCTGGGATGGAGCCCCACATCGGGCTCCCTGCTCAGCGGGAAACCTGCTTCTCCCTCTCCCACTCCCCCTGCTGTGTTCCTTCTCATGCTGTGTCTCTCTCTGTCAAATAAATAAATAAAATCTTAAAAAATTATGATCACTACTAAGTTTATAGTATGCTGTAGGTTGAATTGTGTCCTGCAAATGATATACTGAAGCTCTGAGCCCAGGTACCTGTAAATGTGTCCTTGTTCAGAAATAAGGTTTTAACACTGTTATTATTTAGGTTAAAGTGAAGTCATAATGGATTAGGGTGGGCTCTAAATTCAATATGGCAGGTATTCTTAAACGTTTAAGACACACACACACATACAAACACACACAGGGACAATGCCATATGAAAGCAGAGGCAGAGATTAGAGTGATGTATCTACAAAACAAGAAACACCAAGAATTGCCAGCAAATGACAGAAGCTAAAAGAAAGGATTTCTTCTAGAGACTCCTGAGGAAGCATGGCCTTTCTGTAACCTTGACCTCAAACTTTCAGTCTCCAGAATTGTGATATTTGTTGTTTTAAACCACCCAGTTTGTGGTGATTTGTTACAGAATTCCTAGGGCATTAATATACAGTGTAAGTGATAATTAACATGCATAAATTGAATACGGAATGGAGAATCTCAGCAGACACATGAAAAATGATTTTAAAAAAGTCATTTGAGACTGCTAGGAATAAAAATATCATAGATAAAATATTCCTTCAGTGGGTTTATCAGCAAAATAGAATAAAAAAATAAAATACCTTGAAAAGAGTTCAATAGAAATTATCTAAAATGAAGCAAAGAGAAATAAAATCAGAACAAAGAATCCAAGAGGTATAGGTCACTATCAAACATCTGGACCTCATTACATAATTGGAGACCCATAAAGGAGAAGAGGCAAGTCAGAAGAATTATCTCCAAATACAACAGGAGAGAATTTTCAAAAAGAATGAAAGGCAGAAAGAAAACAACCAAACACAGATTTAAGAAGCTCAAAGAAACAAACATTATTAGTAATAATTTTATGTTTTTAAATATTTTATTTATTTGACAGGGAGCACAAGTAGGCACAGTGAGAGGGAGAAGCAGGCTCCCCGCTGACCGGAGAGCAGGATGCCGCAGGGCTCAGTCCCAGGACCCTGGGATCATGACCCAAGCTGAAGACAGATGCTAAACGGATGAAGCCATCCAGGCGCCCCAATAATTTTAAGAAGCTGTGCATATGACAGTCAAAATGCACAAAAGCAAACATTAAGGAAAAATTTTAATGGCAATCTGAAGAAAAGAAAAAATATATATATATACACACAGAGGAGCAAAGACAAGACAAAGAGTATGACATCTTTAAAAGTTGAAAGAAAGGAACGAGATAATCTTCCATTACAGAATTCTACATCCAGTGAAAATATCCTTCAAAAATGAAGGTGAAATAAAAATTTCTTCAGACTAACAAAAACTGAGATGATTCACTGCTAGTAGACCTACTTATAACAAATGTTAAAGGAATTTGTTCAGGGAGAAGGAAATGCTATCAGCTGTGCATCTGGGTCTATATAAAGAAAAAAGAAACACATACAGTCAAAATGCAGGCACATATAAGACATATTCTCCTTGTTTTTAATTACTTTAAAGAATAATGGACTGTCTAAACCAAAGAAGGTAATTGTATGAATTGCATGTTTTACAACATATGCGCCGTGAAGTTGAATAAAAAGGACAGTATAAAGGATAAGATGGAGGCCATGAAGTATATCGAGTATGTTCTAAGAGTCTTACATTCTACATGAAGGGGCATGGTATCACTTGATGGTTCGCAACGGTGATTTAAAGTTTGTATTTTAAAATAAACATGTAAAATGTTTTTAAATATGTAATAAGCAGAGATAAATTAAAGCATATCAAATAACAATTAATTTTAAAAAGGCAGAAAGTTAAGATAAAAAATAAGTGATGAGGGGCACCTGGGGGGCTCAGTGGTTAAAAAAAAAATAAGTGATGAGACCACAGAAGTCAGATAGCAATGGTAGACTGAAAAACAACCATACTGTACAAAAAGAAATATTAACGGTCTAATTCACACAATATGAAATGTGTATATATCAACAACAGAACTTTAAAATTCATGAATCAATAAAGGACAGAACTTAAAGGAGTAATAAAAAAAAATCACTTCCTTTTGGAAATTTCATCACTCTGAGTATTTGACAAAACAAGTAGACAGTTTCATCAGTAAGAATATATAGGGAATTTGTAACTTAAAATACTAATATTCAATGTTACCTAACTGACGTTTATAGTACACTGTACCACAAAAAGAGCAAAACACCTTCTTTTCATGTGCACATGGAATATTCACTTATATTTTGGTTGATTAAAACAATAAAAAGTCAACAAATTTAAAACAATTGAATTCATTCAAAGTATATTCTCTAACCAAAATGGAATTAAATTAGAACCAATTAACAGAGAGATCTCTAGAAATTCTCTCAGATTTTGGAAACTAAGCAAACTATTTCTATTTTTTTAAAGATTTTTATTTATTTATTTGACAGAGAGAAAGCGAGAGAGGGAACACAAGCAGAGGGAGTGGGAGAGGGAGAAGCAGACTCCCTGCTGAGCAGGGAGCCCAACGCAGGGCTCCATCCCAGGACCTCATGATCATGACCTGAGCCAAAGGCTTAACGACTGAGCTACCCAGGTACCCTAAGCAATCTAAGTAATCCATAGATCAAGGAAGAAATTGCCAGGGAAATAGACATCTATTTTAAATTTAGTAAAAAGAAAAACACAACATAACAAACCTTATGGGATGCAACCAAAGCAGTTATTGGTGGGAATTTTATAAAATTAAAGTCTATATTAAGAAACAAGAAAGGTCTCAAACCAGTACTTAATACTTCCAATATTAAAAAAAAAAAGATTAGCAAAAAAAAAAGGCACAAATTAAATCTAAAGCAAACGGAAGTAAAGATAAGAGCAGACATCAATTAAAAAAAATACAGACAAGATTTAAATATCAATGTAACTAAAAGAAGTTTATTGAATAATAGGTCAATAAAACTGGATAAATCTCTAGCCAGGCTGATCAAGTTAAATAAGAGAGAACACACAAACCACCAATATCAGCAATGAAAGTGGTAACGTTACTACAGAGTCTACAGACATTAATTAGACTAAGAAAGGAGTGTTATTACAACTTTATGCCAATATATATCATAATATAGGAAAAATAGGCAATTTTTTTTGGACGAACCTGTTTATTTATGAAATCAAATAAATAGATGGGGTAAAAAAGTATGGTAGCAACTTCACACAAGGGTATGAGACCAAACAGAATTACTTACTCAAGTTATTCAGGATGGAACAAAATTAAGTGCTCACAATTAGCACAGAAAATATCTGGTTATAGTACTTGTTTCTAAATGGACATTTACTAGTTTACAGTAAGATCCCACTTATTACAGACCACTCCCCACCCCCTTGGTGTACAACCCAAAAAAGCTAAGAATGCAATGTTAATGTAATATAAACTTTTCTTTGTTTACAATTCCAGAATTACAACTTCTTAGTAGTAGTATAACTATCAACAGGCTCACTTACTTTAGTTTACTGTTGGAGGGAAAGGCAATATAAGAAGATAAAATGTCACTTTGGTCCCAGCCTCCCATTTTACAAACATGGATCCAGGATTCTGGATTTATAGCAGAATCACTTTGACAGAGGCGGGCCTGTGGCATATGGCACTGCAAACGCTGTTTGCTCTGGCTTCTTGGGGAGTGCTATGTATACTGCCTATATGGTTTTATAACAATATCTATAGATGTACAGAAGCCCATGTACTTGCTATCAACTTCATTCCCTACTGCAGAAACTTCCAGTTTTCAATCTGTCTACCAAAATCTTGACCATGACATTTAGTTCTGAATTGTGACATCAAGATAAAGCTATCTGAATGAGTAAAATCAAAAGCTCATTCTTAATTTTTAGAATAAAGATATTTTCAAGGTTATAAAGAGTTTATAAATAACACTGTTCACAAGCAAATACTGATCTGTTGATAATCGTTAAGAAACTGAATGTACTGTTTTGAAGTAATACAAGGAATTTCATCAGGTTCAGATAAATTTAGACTCTAAGTAAAACTTTTCCAGGCTATTTAGTCAAGTTACTTACAATATACACATTCCTGAGAATACCCCATTGTAGTAACATTGTTTATTTCCAAATTTTTCTGCATTCAACTTAAAAGGTGTTTCTTCCCAAGAAACTGAACTTTTCTGTCAAATGTGCTTGACCGAATAGGAGAATGGGGTTCATAAAATGGGTTCATTGCAAACTTTATGTATAAATCATAGACATCAGTAAAGAAGTTCTTTATTCCATCTTCTTGCCTTATGTCATGAAGCATAATAAATCTCATATGACCTGCAGTAACAAACGCCGAAACAAACCATTCATTGAACTTGTCCACAGTTTTCAAGTACATGTTGTTGGACAGCCACATATTCTCATCTATGAGGTCGAGAGCAGCATGACTTATGAACTGGTTCAGATGACGATGATCATCTTTGGATTCTGCTTTTCCAGCTGGCAAAACTTCCATTTCAAAAACTGGATTATCATGGGGGCCCACAATTACAAAGTAGAAGCTTCCAGACATTGTCTTCAGTATATGGTTCCTGCAGAGAGAAGCCGACAATGGAAACAGCCAGTCACTTCCCTCCACAGACCTGCGCTTGGCCAAAATGGGCAATTTCTGGACTCAAACTATTGAAGTTTACTGAAGACAAAGTGGATTATCCCAATAGACTTAGTAATAACTTGAATTTTTAAATACCTCTACCAAAATAGACTCATACCTAGAGAACTTCATTGGTAATTTATTTTAAAAACATAAAGGAGAAATTATAACAATTGTACTAAACCAAGCCAGAAAATAAAAGAAGGGAACAATTTACATCTACTCATTTTTTAGGGCACCATTACTCTAATCCCTAAACTAGACATTATAAGGAAACAGATCTGTGCAACAAAAAGAGTGAATTTCAGTGTCTGTAAACTGGAATTAAAAATAAAGAATTACTGAAAAAAAAAAAAGACGGAAACAGATGTACATGTAGATAGATGAAGAATCCTAATTTCCTTGCCCTACCAAAGTCTTTCTCTTACTTACATCTCCAGTCTCACCTAGATTTCGCTTTCATGTGTGTTTGTGTGTGTGTGTGTTCAGGGAGGGGATGGGAGGGAGCAAGGTGATGTGGAAGTGTTAAAAATATCCAAACGGTTGATACAGTAATTTTTTTCTATGATCTTTTGGTGCCACTCACACTCATTCTCCGGATATAAAGGTAACTGAGGAAGTCACTGCTTTCTCAGAAAGTATTTTGAATTTCCTTCAGTTTTTTGAATCATTATAGATCAGAGAATACTTTCAAAATTAATTTTAGCAACTCCTCCCTGAGAAATTCCTAAAAGCCAAGGCTTTTGACTGAACAAAATAATTATTTCTAAAGACAGACTTCTGTTTTATTTTTACCACAATCCATCTTTTGGACAATCCAGCCATCATTTGTACTGTGAGATCCTTTTTTTTTTTTTAAGATTTTATTTATTTATTTGAGAGAGAGAATGAGAGATAGAGAGCACGAGAGGGAAGAGGGTCAGAGGGAGAAGCAGACTCCCTGCTGAGTAGGGAGCCCGATGTGGGACTTGATCCCGGGACTCCAGGATCATGACCTGAGCCGAGGGCAGTTGCTTAACCAACTGAGCCACCCAGGCGCCCTTTTTTTTTTTTTTTTAAAGATTTTATTTATTTGTACTGTGAGATCTTAAATTTGAAAAGGATCAGAGAAATCCTGGGCTTGAGTATTTAATCCAAACATTGAGCATTTCCTTGTCAATTTCCTTAACCTATGGTCTCTGCTCTGCCTCTGCTCTGATATTACCTGTGGTGGGTTGTTTCTTGCCTTTCTTTGGTTTACCCATTCCACCAGTGAACAGTCATTTTGTTGCTTTTGTTGTTTTGGTTTTGCTATTTTTCCTTTAGTTTTAATGTTCTATTCCATATTCTTCTGAGTCATACTAATGCAGCCCTTAGGCAGCCAAAGAAGCCGTCTTTGTTCTGCTTCCACATGATAGCCCATACAACATGGCAAGATCTCAGATTCCTCTGTGCACCACAGGCTCAAGACAGTCCCAATTACTTCTACTATTCTCATAATCACAATTCAAGATCTCTTGCCATCTTTTAAGTTTAAATTGATTTGTTAATATTCTTCTTCTAGATCCGTAGCCAGAACTGAACTCCCTTTTGCTGGGCCTTCCATTGAGTCTGTACATTCACGGACTTAGTAGTTATATCAAATGATTGATTTCATTTAAAATTCTCCCCTTTCAGTGTGTAGCTTTTAGTCTTTGTCATTATTACAAAAACTATGATTTTTAGGTGATGTCATGCTACTGACTATATTATAGGGTATATAAGAATTTTTGCTATGTTGAAAATAATTGGTATTTTTATACATATATTATAATATATCCATCTGTTCAACCCCTTGAACAAGAAGGGAGAAAGAAATTACTAACATTAACCAAGCGTCTATTAAGTGCCAGGCACTGCGCCATAATTTATGCATACATTTTCTCATTCATTCTCAAATTAGCCCTGGAAAGTAAGCATTATCATTTCCATTTTAAATGGGAAAACCAGGCTCAAAGAATCTAATTAAACTGCCTAAATTTACACAACTTGTGAGAGAAGAATAAGAATGTGAATCAATATCTGCTATCATCTCAGCTCAGTGATACATACAATGAAATCTTCAGAGAACAGCAAGTCAAAACACTCTGAATATATTTTACACTATTATTTATAAAAATGAACCATGTATTAAGATGTTGTGTAATAACACATATGGAAGAATTTGTGAATTTGTTTTCCTGTTATCTAGAACGATATATACTGGCTATTTAATACTCTGTAACAGTTGTAAGAGCTGGGATTCACACATTCTAGTAACCTAAGGGCGAATGTGGAAGAAGTATTTTACAATGATCAAATTATGAACACCACATATAGATGATTTAATTCATAATATCTTAAGTTAATTATTATACATTGTTGAGAATTAAATAAGTAAACACCATTGAAACCAGTGGATGTTTGCTCTACAACTGACTTGATATGTGAGTTCAACCCTGTCAGGAATCACATGCCAAATGGTATGCAAAGAACTGCAATTTTTCCTGGGTGGGGGGTCTTGGTATGCGCCCAAGAATACCTCCTTTGTGCTAACCACATACTCTCAGTTCTACCACTACCTGATTTTCATCTTAGATAGATAAACCTGTCCTTATTCATGGCTTTGACATTTAAGGATTTTAGTCGCACTTGATTTCTTGGTTCTTACAAGGATGCATCTTCACAACACGTGCCCTAGTTCCAGTCTTTAAGATCCAATACTAAGGGCACCTGGGTGGCTCAGTTGGTTAAGCAACTGCCTTCGGCTCAGGTCATGATCCTGGAGTCTCAGGATCGAGTCCCGCATCGGGCTCCCTGCTCGGCGGGGAGTCTGCTTCTCCCTCTGACCCTCTTCCCTCTCGTGCTCTCTATCTCTCACTCTCTCTCTCTCAAATAAATAAATAAAATCTTAAAAAAAAAGATCCAATACTAACAACGTATTCTTTTTTTTTCCCATGCCTTTCCTTCCCCTTATAACTCCCCTCTCTTCTTTAGCAAGTCATAACCTATCCATTTTTTTAAACTGACACATCTGACAAGATATTCTTGATCATTGCATTGTTCCATAACTCAATACTGGCAATGACTGGATGACCAATTTCTGACTCTCTGTCCTCAAAATTCGTGTGAGAAAGTTTAGAGAACACTTAGTTCTCTAGAACACTAGTTCAGCTCTCCCAAAGGTTTTTAATTAGCTTCCACACTCTATCCCCACAGAATAACAGCATTGGCTAAAACATCTTATCTTGTCGGTCTAGTTATTTGATTGATATGTCTTGCCGCTTGTTCTGAAATATGGTATATGTGACCATACAATTTTTGGTACCAAATGAAAATAGCAAAACCATTCCACCAATGCACATTCACTTATGCACCTTACAGTTTTTGGAACGAGGTAGACTTCATTTGTAATTCTTACAACAGCATTTGTCTGGACCCCCATGCTTACTATCTGGCCCTCAGGAACTGCATCTGGTAATTGTGACCATTCAAAGTCCACAAATCCCACTAAGTACAGGGGAATGGCAAAAACCATGAATGCTTTTGGAAAACCGCATGATAATGAGTCTCTAAAAAACCTAGAGGATCACTGTGTACATGTGTAAAAAAATACTGCATCTAATTATTATGCAGATGATTTTAAGGAAAGTAAGATCAAACTTTAAATGGGACTTCTAGGTCACAGATTACCTTTTTGATAAATGAATGCTTCTTAACTATTATTACTTGAGGTAAGCAATGGTAAGTAGCTCTTTGTTCCACTTTTTAACAGACACACAAGAAAATAATCTTCAACCATGATTTATTTCTTTATTGATACCACAAAATTGCGTCTGGCTGCTGAAGAGGTTTAAAGAATTAGGGAGCGGACAAGTGACTCTGGAAGGTTAATCTCATTACTCTGCACTCTGTCCATATCAGTTTGGCCTCCTGCACAGAAAGGAGGAATTATCTGTTGACAGTTCAGCAGTGATACAAAACAGTCTGGGAGCATTATCAAGAAAAAGGTAATAATCCACACTCATTTTGCCCAGAACACTAGCATAATCATGGTTTTCTTTGAACTTCTAGTACTTAAAGAAACACTTAAAGATAAGAAAATATTTCTGGTAATACAATCTTAACAGGGGTAAAGATGATTTTGCGTGTTGCCATGACTAAATGAAATAATTTATGTAAAGTATTTTGCACTGTGTCTGGCCTGTAAGCACTTGAAGATCATATATAACTTTCCTAGTGGGTTAACATGAGTATTTGTTTTTCTAATGCATATGCAACACCTGGGTTGACTCAATCTTTCAGGTGGTCAGCATTTGAAAATATTGCCTCCTTTGAGTGCCATGCCCAGTTACCGCATGGCACTCCAGGGGATACCTGAAATGTAACATGGGCTCTGTGTCTGTACCTTCCATTGCACAATCTGAATGCGACAATTAGAATCAAAAAGTAACTAAGAGGAGAGGGCTTTTCCAACACAGTGTCTCAGTAGATGAGAGTCAGATCACATAATGATTGAGTATAGGATCTCTAGCTACTGCAGGCTCTGAAACCTAGGAAAAGTAATGTATGCTTTCTTAGTACAGTTTTCTGGGGGGTTTGTATATAACAAGAATGTTCTTATGAGTTTTAATGTGATCACGTGTATAAAGCATTTAGATCTTGGAGAATGTCCAGTGATGTAGGGCTCAGGTTACAGTTCCAGCCTGTGAAAGCACAGGAATCTGATGACCAGGTAGGTGTGCCAGGCCTTCATCACAGCACCTCCTAACCCCTCCTTCCATCCTCACCGCCCCCCCACACACCACATTCCCAGTATGGCATCCTGGGCTTTGTTCCTTGGCTACTGGGAAATTCGACAAATCCACTTTAGAAAACATTGAAAGGAAAGAGAAGTTGTAGCTTCCTTCTCTGTGTGATACCATCCTGTCTTCATCTAGGGTTGTCATCTGCATCACTGTCATCATTTGCTTTCCACTGAATCATTTTGGTTCTTCCTAGAAGGCCCTTACCCAGTGATTTAGTTTCTTTTCCGCCACAGGATACTTACCGTCACACTGTTTCCCCATTAATTCAGTTATGGTCCTTACACAGTCTTCTTTATTCATTAAGGTAAGGCCTCAGTTTTAACAATTATTGGTCCAGTTCAATTTATTTCCAAACTGAAGCCAAAAAAATGAGGTTGAAAAGCAAATATATCTACAAATGCAGTTTGGATCACATACCATACTGATAATGTAAAGCTTTTTATTCTATTTTATATCAATTTGTATCTTCCATTTGACTCACATTATATGCTTATAGAAAAACTCCACAATATATTAAATTGCATAAAGTTGGTGAGAAGGGGATTTTATTCTGTATCTGGTCTTCGCTTTGTCACTGAAACCTTATATTCCACATTTTCTCACTTAATTATTTAACAAAAAATGTATTGAACAAATATTCATATAAGGGACTACGATATGGTCGGGGGGGAGGGAATATGAACAAGGCATGGGCTCTACTCTTTTACATTTCACAGTCCCAGGGACTAGCTATGACTTATAAAGTCTAAGAATTCCCCTTTCCTTTCTAATTGCTTTAAAGTCAATTTATAAATATATTTTGAATATTAACTAGTTCCCAATAAAAATAAAAACTCCAAGCATCACAGACTACCAAAGTTGAATGTTGTTTATTGTTGGGTTTTTTTTTGTTTGCTTTGTTGTTGTTTTTTTAACAGTTCCCATTTCTTATTCTCACCCATAATTCTACCTCACAAAGGAAGGATATCCATAGAAAGGAGGAATCTCCTGGGATTTATAAAGGATGAATAGGTAAAAGGATATCCTAAGGAATTCTACCTAACAAGGTTGAATGTCCAGTTGAAAAGTTTATATCATATACAAATATTATAGTTTTATATTTTGTTCTTTGGCTAACCAAAAATCACATATTCACATTATGTAAAGGTTGTTAAGGAAAAAGGCAAGACATGGAGTCATATATAACAGAATATAAATCTCAGATGGACTCCTAATTAGCTCTATATTTGGACAAGTTTTCAAACTTTTACGGTCTTAGTTTCTTTACTGTTTCATTGAGAATAATAATACTCTATGTACAACCAGATTTTGAGTTCTAAATGAAAAATATGATTTGATACAAACATTAAATATTCAAAGAATATTAGGTCCCACCAAGTAGGGGCTTCTAAAAATGATCCACTGATACAGAAATATTTTCAGTACATTATTCATTACTTTTTTTTATGTTTTTTTTTTTTTTTGAAGATTTTATTTGACAGAGAGACACAGCCAAAGAGGGGACACAAGCAGGGCGAGTGGGAGAGGGAGAAGCATGCTTCCTGTGGAGCAGGGAGCCCGATGCGGGGCTTGATCCCAGGACCCTGGGACCATGACCTGAGCCGAAGGCAGACGCCTAACGACTGAGCCACCCAGGCGCCCCTACATTATTCATTACTTAATGTTAAGACATTGCTGCTCAAGCCAAGTGGAATAATGGCAATTCTCTGAAGGGTTTACTTTAGATTTTGCCAATTATACTTCTACATGGTTCCTCAAAAATTATTACGTCTACTTTTATCACAGCAAAAAATATCCCTTATTTGAGGAGTTATAAGAAATGTTTTTATTCTATAGTTTATAACAATACTAATGAGAATTCATTCATTCATTTATTTATTTGTTTAAGAGATACTGCTGTAGTGCTTACTGTCTGCCAATTACTGGGCCACATACAGAAAAGAGAATGTTAAAAAAGACAAATTCTCTGCCCTCATGGGATAATGTTAATAAAATAATTTAAACAGGTCCCAAATGTTTTCACATACCCTATTTTACTGAATCCTGATGATGACCATGGAAGGTAGGTATTGTGCATACTGAGACAACTTCCCTGACTGGAGCACTAATGACTGAAGGTACAAAAGGAGTCTCTTGCCTAGCTAATCCCAAATCCGGTACCAAGACAATACACCTCTTAAGAGAAGATTTTTAACTATCACTGCACAGTGCACCTAATTTGTGGGTCCCCACAACAAAACTGTCAGCAAACGTTGGCTCTTCATTGTTTAGAGGGCTCACATCAGAATATGCCTTGTCCATTGCTAAATCATATGTAATTTTTTTATGGATGTCATTTCAAATAGCCTGCATCATGCCTCCTCTTCCATCAGTGCATGTAATTGAGAGCGGGCTCGGAGTTGGAGAAAGCTTATACTGAGCAATTTCCTCAATCTAAGAGAGTTTCTTTCACTATTATAATTTTCTGCTTATTGTTTGAGCTAGGGAATAATAAATGCTTGATTACTTGTTCTTTTATAGCTGCATGTATTGTCTGTTTCTAGAAAACAGGGCTGTTTGTATCTTACATTTTACAAAAGATTAGATCTATCACCTCATTACCTGGGGAGTATGCCTCCATACATAATGTTTATCCCACAATCTTTCTTCTGTCCTACCTAGTTCAATTATCTTTCTCTCCTTCTTATTGCTTGGCATGCATTGTCTGAATTACTAGGCCATGAAATGTTCTTTTTCCTATAACTCAGTCTCTGACATTTCCAAATCTTCCTTGCGAGAGATATCAAAAAGCAGCACACATTCTTTACAGAATTAATAAGATGAATGGTCTTAATTGCAACCTTTTAAGCTAATTAAAATGAAACTGGAATGCATACGGTAGAGATAAATGTCTCACTTTACTTCTGGAAATATTCATGACTTTTACATTTTATACTTTTAAAATTGTATGACTGTTTATTCAAATATATACAAATATACTGAAGACTGCTTCAATACAATACAAACAAAACAATGAAAGTGGAAAAATAATTTTATTGTTCATTGCTGTTCATGGCACTCTACCATGGTGATTTTAATTTGTGATTATTATTCATTAAGAACAAGAAAGATTTCTGGTTCTTACTGATTTTTTTCACTCCATTTTACATGAATAAAGGGAACTGTACCCTTAAAGCAGTAGCTCATGATTTCTGCACATTACAAACTAAGCTCAAATGCATAGGAACATCATCGGGAGATATTTATGATTATTTTTAAATAGTAACTTACACCCTGTCCATATACAAAGATCAATTATGCATATTAAAAAGTAATTAGCTCAAACTAAGACTTAAATTACACATAATGTGAATTAATCCAGAATATTTCTTGGTATTACAAAGTTTAGAAATGTGAATATCTGTCTCATGGGTACTCTCTACTATGCAATCATTCTTTTGGCTAATATTGACAATTACGTTTATAAGCTTTTCTCCAAAATGTGTCTGAATGGTCATAGACAAATATATACACTCTATGAGACAACAGTCTCCACATTGCATAGGCAGATAACTGGTCTATCTACTCTCTTCAGGCTTTCAGATTTCTAAAATTTTACTACCACTCTCACAAGTACTTTTTAATGAGTTTATTTTCTTTTTTCCTTTTTCAAATGTACCATGGGGGTGTTGGAACTTGACAAAAGAAGATGTCTTTTCGGGCAAGGTGAGTAGTCTACCTGCAAAGAGGCACATTTAAGAAATATTTTCTTAAGGGCTGGGCATAGAAGTTAGTTTCAAAGACATTCTATGACTGAGACAAAGTAAAGGGCTATATCCAGATAGAATATCTTACTCACTTATTAGAACATAAGAATGAGAATCTAACTTACATACAGTTAACTAGGATATAAAGGTAAGAAAATGACCCCAAAACAAAACAAAAACAAACAGACAAAATGGGGCGCCTGGGCGGCTCAGTCCTTAAGCTTTTGCTTTCGGCTCAGGTCATGATCTTGGAGTCCGGGGACTGTGCCCGCGTCGGGCTCCCTGCTCCGCGGGAAGCCGGCCTCTCCCTCCTCCACTCCCCCCGCTTGTGTTCCCTCTCTCGCTCTCTCTGTCAAATAAATCTTAAAAAAAAAAAAAGCCAGAAGAGAGTATTTATGTGTGAACAGATAAATCAGTTTAGATGGGGTTTTAATACACTCATGCACATTTTCACAAGACTGACCTTGTACACATGGATACTGAAAGGAACCAAATCTTTAGTCCTTTAAGCTAAATCATTATTCATTTATTCTACATATTTTGGTAATCTCTATTAGGTGTCCAACTCACTGTGGACACATAGATCAAAAATTGAAAGAAATAATATATTTGCTTCCAAAGGGCTCCCTAGTGAAGACACACACGTATATATTCTTATTAAAGGTGAAACAAACAAACAAAAAAGTACTATTCAACACCGAATCAACAAAAACAAGATATTGTACTTACCACATTTTGAGTGAGGAGAAAAGTAACCTGTTCTTCAAATAATATGTGTAAAAGCTATAGTGCAGGTAGCAGTGATTTATGTTTAATTCCAGACAGATGTAAATTTTTCATTGCTTTTATGACATGCTTTTGTATCATTTCTTGAAATACGACAGAAGTAAGTAAAATGATTATTTTTTTCCCTTTACTATAGGAAACGAATTAAGAAGGAAATGGGTGCCTGGATGGCTCAGTCAATTAAGCATCTGACTCTTGGTTTTGGCTCTGGTCATGATCTCATGGGTCATGAGTGGGCCCCACATAGAGCCCCAAGTCAGATTTCAAATTCAGCAGGGAGTCTTCTTGAGATTTGTCTCCCTCTGCCCCTCCCCTGCTCATGCACTTGCTCATGTGTGCACCTGTGCTCGCTCTCTCAAATAAATCTTTTTTTTTAAGTGCTCTCTCTCTCTCAAATAATTTTTTTTTTTAAGGAAACTTAGAAAATTGGCTTTCAAAATTGTCCCTAACTTCCAGTTTCAGCCCTGAAGTGTAAAGAGTTTGGAAGTCAGCATTCCCATACCTACAACAAGAAAAAGCTAGACAAACAGAAAATCCACAACTTTTCGAAGTCATTAAACTGAAGAAACAGATTAAATCACAACCAAAATCTGGAGAGACAAGCATATCCCAAAAGTCACAGCCTCGCTCTGCATACTTAAAGGAGAATCCACTCGATCAAGAGTCTGGTAGGAACACTTAAATGCTAATTTTGATGAATTGGTGGAGGTTGTGGACTACCTTAAAAGTAAGAAATTCCTGGAATGCCTAGGTGGCTTAGTCAATTAAGTGTCTGCCTTAGGCTCAGGTCATAATCCCAGCATCAGGCTCCCCGTTCAGCAGGGAGTCTGCTTCTCCCTCTCTGCCCACCCCTACTCATGCTCTCTCTGCCGAGTTCTCTACCTCTCTCCCTCTCAAATAAATAAAATCTTAAAAAAAAAAGGGGGGGGGAAGAAATTCCTGGGACCAGCAGCCTTAGACAGGTCCTCAGACTTTTGAAGGTTATAATGCCAGGAAACCCACCAGATTCTCACTGTGAAGATGTGAGGAAGATTCACCTGTGGGTCTGGCAGGAGGAGACAGCATAATTACTGTGCAATACACCAGCAGCCTTCTCCCCAACAAATGCCTTCTCTCCAGGAGACCAGGCTTCCCCAGAGCCTTCTTATCCCAGTTTCGGGGAAGAGATTTTTCTCTCACTCCAGCCTGCTCTGGTATTACTGTCTCATCCCAGGTGGAATCAACAGGGGTGGGAGGAGGGAATAGAGATACAGGGCGGAAAGAAACAATACCAACAGAGAAACACTGTGGAGGTCACAGCCCTGAAATACAGCCCCACTAAAACACTAAGATTTAATCAAATGATTATAAAACACCTCAATTCCTCACTCCTTACCAACACACCAACAGGGACCCAATATAACAGTGGACTGCATCTGAAGGATGTGCAAGATACTGATTCTTTCCAAGGAGGAGTACTTAGGGAAGCCCGGAATCAAGAGAGGAGATAAAAACAGACCACAGAGGGATCTGAGGCCTCTGGCTACAACCACCATGAGCTATGACAACCTATAGCTGTGACAAACATTAAAGAGAGGCTAATTCATAGCCAAATTAACATAAATCCCCACACTGAAGTCCTACTTAATTCAGTTCTTATCACTTAGTATAAAATATCTGATTTTTAGTGGGTAAAAGGGGGAATTAGAAGTCATGTCAAAAGTTGAAAGGATATGGATTATGAAAAGAAAAGGCAATAATCAGAATTGGACTCGGGTGTGTAGGAATTATCTGAGAGGGAATTTAAAATAACTATGATTAATACATTAAGGGTTCTAATCAAAAGAGCAGACAGCATGCAAGAATCAATGGGCAATATAAGCAGAAAGACGGAAGTTCTACAAGAGTCAAAAGGAAATGTGAGAAATCAACATTGCAACAGAAATGAGTAATGCCTTTGATGGGCTCATACAACGTAGCTAAAAAAAGAATCCATGGGCTTGATAATGAAGCAATATAAACGTCACAAAATAAAATGAAAAGAGATAAACTAAACAAACAAGACAAAAAATAACATCTAAGAACTGTGGGGCAATTTCCATAGACGCAACATAGGTATAATTGGAATGTCAGAAGGAAAAAAAAGAGAATTAAGCAGAAGAAATATTTCAGGTAATAAAAGGTGAATTTTCCAAAATGGATGATATACAATAAGCCACAGTTCTAGGATGTCCAGGAAACATCAGACAGAATGATTACCAAAACAAATAAACAATCCTGAGCATAGTACATTCAAATTGCAGAATACCAAAGGGAAAGTCTTGAAATCCAGGGGATTAGGGGTGGGGAACACCTTACCGATAGGGGAACAAGAAGCAATTACAGAAAAGTTCCTAAAAACCATGCAAACAATAAGGGAGTGTAGGTAAATACTTAAAATGTTGAAAGAAAAAAAAATCTAGGAAAAGTAAATATTTTCTCAATTATCAAAAACTGTGGTAATTCACTGCCACTAAATCTAACCTGCAGGAAATGCTGAAAGAAGTTTTTCAGACAGATGAAAAAAAATATATAGGTCATACATTTAGATCTACATAAAGAACAGAAGAGTATCTAAGAATAAATGAAACATTAAATCCTTAATTAAAAAAATGATTATTTTAAGTGGTTACATTAAAAATATATTAGGCATTTATAGCATTCAGATAAATGAAATTAATGAGAGCAATATCACAAGGGGTTGTAGGTAGAAATTGGAAATAGTTATAATTCCCTATACTATATATGAAATGGTGTGGTATTTGAAAGTAAACTTACATAAGATAACAATGTATATTACAAATTCTAGGGCAAGCACTTTTTTCTTACTACAATGAATATTCTAATACAGGAGATAAAATCAAATTATATAAAATGCTTAACTAAAACCAGACAAGGCAAAAAATAAAGTGGGGGGAAGAAACTAAAAAAAAAAAAGAAAAAAGAAAATCAATAAATATTAAATACTAACTAAAATTAGTAACTTAATACCAATCCAACTATAGCAATAATCATTTTAAGTGTGAATGTCCTGAATACCCCAAATAAAAGGGAGACTGTCAGAAAGTATGAAAAATCAAGAATAAACTATATGTTGTCTAAACAAAGCCCACTTTACATATAAAGACACATTTAGGTTAAAAGTAAAGAACCAACCCACCCCCCCCCCCAAAAAAACAAGAAAAACAGACTCTTAAATACAGAGAACAAACTGGTGGTTGTCAGAGGGGAGGTGGGTGGGGGTAGAAGTGAAGTAGATAGAAGGCATTAAGAGGTACAAATTTCCAGGTCTAAAATAAATAAGTCACAAAGATGAAAAGCACAGCATAGGGAATATAGTCAATAATATTATTATAATGTTGTATGGTGACTATACTTACTGTGGTGAGCACTGAGTAAAGTATGGAATTGTTGAATCAACATGTCATATAACTGAAACTAAGATAACATTGTATGTTAATTATACTTCAATAAAATAAGTATCTCTGGGGAAAAAAATCGCATCATCTCTAAGTCCCCTTTCAACTCAAACATCATAGAATCTATTCCAAACTCTTACGTGGCAAAGGAGTCTTGCTTTCTAAGACTATCTGGTAGTGATCCTGAGACCCAGGCCCAAACTCGCTGATTAGCTTAAATCCCATTTTTTAAAAAGATTTATTTATTTATTTTAGAGAGAAAGAGGGAGAGAGAAAGACAGGGCATGAGTGGGGGTAGAGGTAAAGGGAGAGGGAATCTCAAGCAGACTCCCTGCTAAGGGCAGAGCCCAATGCAGGGCTTGATCCCAGGACCCTGAGACCATGACCTGAACCAAAATCAAGAGTCAGCCACTAAACTGACTGAGTCACCCAGGTGCCCCCCCCACACTTTTCTAAAACCTCTTTTGAAACATTAAAGCCCACACATACGTTTAAATAACTGTCAAATTTGCTCTCCTTACAGAGGGCTTTTTATTATTTTTCATTAAAATAAAAATCCCTCTGGTTGACTTTCTAAATGTTTTCACTAGACCTTCAAAAACAAAAAGAGTAAAGAATAAATAAAGATATACCATGCTAACACTTAACAGAAGAAAGCTGGAGTAACTATATTATCTTCACACAAAGCATTTTTCAAAAAAAATGATAATGGTCAGGGATAAAGACGGGCATTACAGAATGATAAAAGACATCAATTCTCAAAGAAAATACATTCTTTTTTTTTTTTTTTAAGATTGTTTATTTATTTGACAGAGAGAGACATAGTGAGAGAGGGAACACAAGCTGGGGGAGTGGCAGAGGGAGAAGCAGGCTCCCTGCTGAGCACAGAGCCCGATGTGGGGCTCGATCCCAGGACCCCGGGACCATGACCTGAGCCGAAGGCAGACGCTTAACGACTGAGCCACCCAGGCACCACTGAAAATACAACATTCTTATACACGGATGTAGATAACAACCAGAAGGTCAACATATATCAGGCAAAAACTAAGAGAACATCAAAGATAAATAGATAACTCCACTATTATTGTCAGAGACTTTAACGACCCTCTCTTAGTAATCCAGCAGGCAGAAAATCAGTAAAGACATAGCTGAATTGACTAGCACTATCAATCAACTTCACTGAACTGACATTTGTGGAATACACCACCGAACAATGGCAGAATACACATCCATTTCAAGCTCACATGGACATTCGAGAGAGACCCTATTCTGGGCCATAAAACACAGCTTTAAAAACCTGAATAACAGAAATTATACAAAGTGTGACTTCAGATCAAATGAAATTAAAGCAGAACTCAATAAAAGAAAAACAGCAGAAAAATCCCTAAATATTGTAAATTAAAGATCACATACCTAAATGA